CTAAGATATAAAATATTTGTCCTTTTTAATCAAGTATTTCTGCTTTTTTGTGTGTGCTGTGGGTTGCAGCTTGGTGAGTGTCTGTCTTCCAGAGCTAATAGTTGTTGAGGCCAAGCTTTTGTTCTGTTTCTGAGTGCACTGCGCTGTGTGTATGTATGTTACTCTGTACCCCATATTTTCATTCTTCTTGCAATCTCTTGGTACTGAACAAAGAATCTGCACCCAATTTTCCTGGTCCCTGTGCTGATGCTGATATTTGAGCATGTGTTCAGAATACAGCATTATTTTCATTGTTCCTTAATTATTATCACTTGAAAGACAATAATTTTGAAGTGAAATCTAATTGCTCTGTTAATTCAAACATCTGCTAGAAGATTTCAGTGGATAATGGTACTTTGAATTGTTGCAAGCTGGAGTTTGTTAGTGGTGGCTGGCAAAAGTCTTTCATTTATTAGCTTTGCAATGGCACTAACTAATAACAACAAGCAGTTTGTGCAAATGGAGAAGTCTAAGAAATGCTGAAATGATTCTGACACTCTTTGAAGCAGATTAATTCTGACTGGAAAATTTCAAGTTTATCACAAGTTAGAAATTTGTGTGAAGGTTTTTAAATTCTATCAAGGTGTGTTATAGAAAATCATAATGGGAGTAAAAAATATTGGAAAATCATTTTTGTGAGAATGGAAGCTGATAATTTAAAAAAGGTGCAAATTGAAAGATACTTTTTTGAGGAGATCAATGAGAACCACTTTATTAGAAAGCATAAATCACTTTTTAATTTCAGATGCAGTAAGGAAAAATACTTCAGTTTCACTGAAATTGATTGGTACACCTGCAGAGAAGCAGCTTTATCATCTCATTATCAGTCAATTAATATTAAGGTCCAAATGTGAATACTGTTGCTGTTAACTGGGAATAAATGATTTTACTGAAGTCTTTATAGACCAGGAAAAGCAGGCTTCTACTATGTTAAATGAGGGCAGCTGAGGAAAAAAATAAAAACGAGTAATTCTGCCGTGGATTTAAACATCTCAGTGCTTTGGAAACTTTAAATGGGCACTTTCTGAAGTCAGCACCCCTTTTGGTCACGGTGAAGCTTCATTACCAGGGATGTTACTGCTTGAGCTGGGAAGGCTCCGCATTTAGGCCTTCTGGTACAGAAGTGCACAAATGCTTTTTCTAAAGATTGGAATAATAGGTTTGTATACAAAAAGTGCACTACTAAATACTGAGTGGACTCAGATCCTGACATTCATCTTGGGCAGTATGGTTATCTCCTTTGACATGCCTTGTTAGCAATATTTTGCAGTAGTTACAGACTTTCGAGAAGGGAAAGGGAGAGTGGGAATGATAGTCTTTTCTACTTCTGTAGGAGATAACTTTCTGCTTAATTATTAAGTGAAGGCCATAATGAGCTTGTTTCAATTACCCACCGAAAACTTCTAGGGTACAAAAAGACAAAATGGTCTGATTACAGATATCTCGTTCAATTAGTTTTTACATTTCCCTGTAACACAGTTATCTTTCTGTGTTTGGGCATGAATCAGAATGTAAGTGCTTCAAATTGGTTTGGAGAGTGGTAAGATCCCCTTTCTGCACACACACAAAACCAGGTAAAGAGCAGATCACGTGAACTTTAAAATTGAATTGACTGCACAAGTAGAAGCTATTAGAAATCAGATGAGGTTGAAATTTACAGTGAAATTTACAGTACAGTTCTTGATCATGAGTTTTATGTTTTATAGTGCATCTGGGATGCTAGACACAGGGTGTATGTAGGGTTGGGGTCACTTTCAGTTTCTTTTATTTTGGGATAGCCATCTATTCTGAGGTACCGATATTTTTACTCCCTTAGGAAATCTAGAACCATTGTAAACCTTTAATTTTGGAAGTTATCTTCCGTAAATTAAAGCTAATATTTAGAAATCTATTTTTTCTTCACTTCTGATTGAATGTTTGGGTGATGAACCTACATTGTTCTTACAGTAACAGTATTTCTGAAGTACACCTTCCCTGGTGCAATTAGAATCATTGTACTTGTAAACATTTTCGTGGTGATTATCATAATATATAATCAAAAGGGAACTTAAGGTGAAGTTAGGTCAGTATCAACTTCCGAAACCTTTTCTCTTCACATTACTTTCATGTGATTGATTTGGAAAGCCCACTATGATAACATTGCTGTTGTTGCCCAGGTTCGTACATTATTCCCAGATGAAGAAGCATCCTGATGACACTTAAACCTCATGGTTTTCAATTTTGTCTAGAAGAAACTCATCAGCACTTTCAGTAACAACAAAAAAAAATTCAATAGAAGACTTGCCATCATATCAGCACCTTTACTGTGTTAAGGTTGGACTGTTTTTATGGATGATGCACTTGAGACTTCACAATTTATAGGACTGCGTGTCAGTATGGCTACCTGTTTGCTTCTCCAGAGTGCTCTCATCTTTGAGAAATGTGATGTACTGCTGAAACATTGGTTTTACTGTCCATTATTGGAGCAGATACCTGGTATCTGTCAAGCAGTGTATACTGGCATTAGTTATGTTTCTCATGTATGAAGAATGTAGAAATTGAAAAGAAGGCAAATTGCTCTTTGATATATGATAAGCCACAAACATGCAACTGCAGATTTAAATCAGGTAGAATTGAACTGTATGGAAGACAAATGCATTGAAAGCTGGTTCAGTGTCTGTTTTAATCATTAGCGAGCTTGTCCCCATGATTTTCAATTATCCATTTATCTAACTTAGTGAGCCATAAGACACTAACTGTTGCAGGAGAACCAAGCGCTTGTTAGAAGCCTACTCCTGCGGGTAGGATAGAGTAAGAGTACTTTTTAGACAGATCATCTGCAGACACCTGCTTAATATTCTATTATCCCAGGTAACTTTTCCTAGTTTCTTTATTTTAAAATGCTTTAGCAAATCCAGTTATTGATTTTAATTTACCCATCCTGCTTAGCTCTGCTAAGTATTCATCATTAGGGAGAACTAAATCTTCTGCAAAAGATTTGTCATCCTCTTCACTGAAAACTAAGGCTTCATTATCGCTGTACTACATTTGATCTGTTTTGTTTGTATTTGAACTTTTTACATTAGTGTCCTGTAGCTGACTGAGTCTCGCATAGAATATGCCTGCCTGATTCTTCCGTTTTTGTTTTTAATGCTAATGTGACCATGTCGTATGGCCAGGTTGGCTGGCAGTCCCATAATAGCTCAATGCCTTTAATTTACAGTTAAATATTACAAATTAGTCCACAACTGTGAAAGAAAGCTGAGTAGAGTATCCTGTGCAAGGTAATTAGTCTTCTAGTTAATAATGTGACATCTTCACTGTCTTTTTAGGAAGTATTAGTATTAAATACTAGTATCTTTATTGGATTCTGAACATTTGAGTATATATAGTTGTGTAACTGTGAAATTTGGCAAAAGGGGGAGAAAGGGAAGACAGTTATTGTCTGCTAAATATTGTAAATGAGGCAGCAGTGAATGTGATCTTTGCATTTGCCTTGATTCCAGAATTCATGGCTAGCTTTTTTGTTTTAGAAAAGTAAAGGGGTTGTCACTTTTTGCTATGCTACTGAACTTGTAATTCATAGGTAGTGGTGTTCCAATAATTTCACAGCTGTCATCCACAGAATTAAGTACATAATGAGGAGAAACTTTTGATGGCATGTAAGTATGTTAACACCATCAGCACACTAAATCCTGGCAATTAGGCAAAACCAAGTTTTCTGTTTTGGGTGTTTCTGATGTGCGTACATGCACATCACCTGTATAAACAAAGGAGCTTCTGAGTGTGCGCCTAATTCTGCAGAAACTGCAGCACTATCTCCCTTTTCTCTCTCTAGGAGTATTTTAAGTTTATTCTTGGTGAGAGGGGGAGTAGAAGTATTTACCCATATTCAAATGTTGAGCAACATGAAATGCTGGGCAGCTACTGTGATAGGTACTGCGGTCAGCTGTATTAACAGGCCACTGCATCAGTGAAAGGATCAGTGCAACATGCATCCAGTTCAGTGTTTATTCTGTAACAAGCTGTGAGCTAGTCAGCCACCTGGTGCCTCTTTCATCAGCATTGTCAGAAACACCTTTGATCTAATTAGTTGTATATAGATTAAAGCTGTGAACATGTAGCTTCCAGAATACTTGAAGGGCTAATAAATATCTTCCTATTCTATTCTGATCCTTCCTGCTGATTTTGGGTCAGAATCTTCCCTCGAAGTGCTTTTTCAGATATGCTGGCAGAGTTTTTGTTGTGGTGCGTGTTGAGGTCATAGTGTTATTCTGTGCACTGTACCATGGTATGGGTGTGTTAAGCAATTCTATGAAGAGAAGCTAAGCAGGGAAGATATATCTATGTTATGGAATAACTACTTTCTTGTTTCTAACCATTTTTTTTTTTTTTTTAAACAAATCCTGGAGAAACCTCTTTCTGCATATTCTTCTTAGCTTTGAATTAAGTGATGAGTATGTGAAGTGTTTCAGAGTCAGATCAGGTATAAAAGTTACTGAAGAATCAGATCCTAGTGAACGTTGCAGCCAACTGGTTATTCATTGTAACTCCAAGATTTTTCTAGTCTGGACAAACTGGTTAAAATGTCAGTGCATTTTTTAAGTGATAGCTAAAAATCTCTTGTGATTGATAGTTAAGTTAGGCAAATTATTTCCTACGATGTTTGCCACTGTTATCAATCAGACTTTGAGAAGGAGTGTGAAACTGATGGCAGAAATGAAGTCTAAATTCTGTGAATCACCAGCTGTAGTTGTTTTTTAGTCCACCTTGATTGAAATAGAAAAATGGTATAAGGTTAGATTTCAAGTATGGAATAGTGATGACAAAAGTATTTGCACTAGCTAAGGTTGTGTTTAACTGCACTAACAAAAGTTAACAGATCTCTGGGACTTGATTTTCATAAAAAGGAATAAGATATAAATAAGCACACTTGAAGTTTTTTGTCAATACTTGAGCTGTGTGTTCTCTTGATGTTTCAGGTGGACTGATAATAAGTACTGAATACTTCAGGGAAGAAGAAAGGCAAGATTTACTACTCAGCAGGTGAGAGCTGACTATGTTGAATGACTAGTTTGGACAGAACCTTAGAAAGATGACAATGTCAAGTTGTGATAATGTAGTAAAAGTGATACCTTATGGCTTGAACAAGTGTTTGAGCACGAGGTGGGAAGGCTGACCCAGGGGAGCTCAGGTGCATGCAACGGACCTGAGTACTGGAAGGGGTGGAGCCCCTGCCCAGACCTCATTTAAGGGTTGGCAGTGGAGGCAAAGAGATCTCAATGGAGATCCCTGCTTACCTGAGACCTTCCAGAGTTAAGTAGCTTTTTTTCCCTTCATTTTTGTGTTCGTGGCTGCTGCATTTGGACTTGTTCTCATTTGCTGCTGCTGAAGTCTTTGCTGCTCTGCTATCATTGCTGTACTTTCCATCACATTGTAGTGTTGTGGATAGTCAACGTGGACTTCTCTTAAGATAGAAGTTGTTTACCTATTTGATATATCTCCTATATACAACTGTTGTTCTTCTTTGTCCTCTTCTTCTTTTTGTCTACTTTCTCAGTTTCTGATATTCTTTCAGCTCTCATTTTACATGAAAGCTTGTTCTCACCATCTATATCTTTATGCTGAGCTCTCAAGCAGCTGAAGAGGCAACTGACTAGTTCATACTTTGTGTTATAATAGAATTAGTTAGAGAGCTACACTGGAGGGTGGAAGGAAGCATCAGAACTTTATTCTTTTAATCTTTATTTTCTCTATGCTTCTGTTGTTTGTAAATGTTTTGTTTTCCCCTTCTACAAAGCCTGTGTGGAGTAACTGATTATGTTCCTCTGAGCTAAAACAAAATGCTGAAAAGTGTTGTTTCCTTGCTTTTTTCCATTTTCAGTGGTTTTGATATTGCAGATGTATGCTGTTCCTATGTAAAAGATCTAATTAGTAATTAGGAATGAGGTATTGTAAACTTACAGTTTTGAGGTTGTCTGCTAATAGTGCTTTTAAGCAGGTGGAAAGTTGCAGGTTACTCTCGTGGTAGCTCCATTAATGTTTCTGACAAGATCAGACCAACATTTTTTTTCTTTAAAGCAGAATAGATCAGAACTCAATTTAGCTTTAAAAAAACAAAAAAGTGAAAGAACAAACTGAAGGTGTTTAGTTAGCTCTGTTAGTTGATAGCTCACTGGAGGCTTTTTTATACTTAAAATGCTCTTTATTTTTTGCTCTTAAAGACTATATGTGTGGAAATCATAAGCACTGCTGTAGCTTAAAAATGTAAGGAATAAGTATGTATTATAATGTACAAATCTTGTGGTGTTACTTTTGATTTCATGCAAACTCTAGTAAAAAAATGTGATAGGTATCTGAATGCTATGGTTCAACAAAATTGCTGTTTGTGCCACTATGATGTAAAGAAATTGAGCTAACCCAGTATTTTTTTGGTACCTGTGCACATATTTGCATATGCATGTAAGTTTGTTCTAAAATATAACCCAAATACACTATTTATGCCCTGCTTGAAAAGAAGAACTGGTAATTCTTGCTACTTATTTTGTCAGTTTATTTTTTGGCAGTTGGCAACTTTTATTCTCTGATTGTGTAGCAATATCTATATCTACAGCAACAAAGAAACTGATCAGCTGTCTGCTGTTGTATTTGACACTAGGATATGACAGGGATCCTAAACAAGGTTTGTTGTATTGATTTTGCTGTTAGGTGTTGGATTTGCAATGTATTTGAACATAAGGAATGTGAAATTGCTCCTTCCTCTCCAATAACATCTAATCAGGCTTCTCAAGGAACGTGACTGCGTTACCCAACCACAAAGGAGTCCTGATGATAATATGGGAACATGAGCTATATGAAATCTGTTACTGTGCCATTACTGTTCCTGTTGACTAGATGTTTCTACTTTTGTAAAAGAAAATCCCATTTTTTTGATCAGGTTATCACGTGCATGACTTTTGAGTCTGAACAATCTTGGTCACATTGCTTGTAGGTGGGTTATAGCACTTAGGCTAGGCTGTTATTTTGGGTTCTGTTTGTTCAATTAAGCGCAAGGAACAAATGTTTATTTTTTGTTGTTGCTGTTTCCCTTTAAACAACAACAACAAAACAATAAACCCATAAAGACCAAACAAAAACCAACCTCAACTTGTATTAGAAACAGTAAGCACGAGTTTCCTAGAATATTCAGATATGTGATAAAATTTGTGTGACTTGGTATTTCAAAAATATTTATGTTCATACAACTCCAAATTGATTTTAAATGCTAGTAAGAGAACTGCATTGATATCAAGCTGACGGATGCAAAGTCTACTTGAACATTAGGGTAGATTTGAATATCAATATATGTTTCCTTTTACCTCATGGTCTTTATCTTTCTGATGTCTCAAATCTGGAATGGAAAATGTTTAAATTCTGAAGATCTAAAATAGAATTTTATTTGTCCCTGTCTTTGAAGGTGTTTATGTAATGCTTTTACACTTCAAGACAATCAGTGTGCTGTTGCCATTTCAAATGAAATGTTAGTGAACACATTGTACTTCAAATTCTTGTGAAAACAGGATATGAACTTACTGAACTGCCCTGTGTAGTACAGATAGCTGTTGGTCATAAGGCACTAAATGTGAGAAGGCAGCATCTTCAGACTTGAAATTTTTTTGTGTATGTAGTGCTTGAATCTCTCTGTTCAGCTACCAAGTTGGTAAAACAACCACTGTTAAACAGTTGGACTAACCCACACTAAAACCTTCAACTGAACATTTTGGCATTGATCTTTCTTATAAGTTGGAAGTGCTCAGAACCTCACAGCATCAGGCTTTTGTAAAACAGAATAGTTATTGACATGTTTCATCCTGAGTATCGTGGTTCAGTTGTTAAGTGGCTTGCTTTGGAAGAAAAAACTTTCTTCTCTGGTGATATACTGCTATTCACAGCTGTCTCAGACAAAGTTGCATTTGCATTAAGGGATGAGGGGCAGAGTGAGTGCATAACAGGCAGTCTGTCCCTAGCAGTGAATTTTATCTGAAATATACGTATTAGCAGTGTCTTTTTTGTTCTACTGAAAAGGAGAGTTTGGTTTATTGAAATGACATGTCAATAGATTTCATGTATTTCACAGCTGATTTCAAGTCATATTCAAGTTCATAAGCAGCAGGTGAAAGAATTGCTTTCTTTCCGTCTTTGAATTTTGTTGGTTTCAGATATTGTTTTTACTCCCTCTCACTCCTCTGACAGTTGATGTGGCAGTAGGAATGTGTTTTTAAAGGATGTATTACTTCCAGAGACCCATAATTAATTATCACTTTTTTCCCCCCAGAAGTAAGGTATCTTTTTCTTTAAATCTTGCCTTAGTTTGGTTCTCTTTATAGATCCCATTCCAGTATCAAGTAACAAGAAGGTGGGAGTTGGAATACTTTTAGAGTTTCATCACAGACCAATGCTAATGCAATCTTGTAGAATGAATATTTTGCTGATTTTTTTTTTTTTCAACTAGTTAAGGTGTCCATCTATTTATACCTAGCAAGCAAGATGTGAAAGAAACCATTAGGCCTCTCTAAGTGGCTTTGTATTAGATTTTGTTTAGTCTAGGAAACATTTTTTTATAGGACTGTTAGTTACTGTTGTATGGATACAAATGGACAGAAAATCTTTATTCATGCTGTGGAAGTCATCACTTTCAATGCTGGATGACGTGGTGTGAATCTTGGCTCTGATCTTCGCTTTTGCTAGTTATATGAAATTAATCTTAACAGCTGAGTTAATTGGAAGGAAAAATGACATCAAAACCAGAAATAAGCCTAATAAGTCTATTAAGAATTTAATTATTACCTAATACTAATTTAAATTCAGAAGTTATTTAATTCAAAATTTTTGCTGTCTTTGTACTCTTTAAATACATTTATTGTTGAGGTGAGGAATAGTTCTCATTTCTGGTTGTCATTCTGCCTTTTGTTATTATGGAAAGAATGTTACATTTGAGTAAATGTATATGGCCATTATTAACCTTTTAATTGTGAATTTTCAGTGTTGAGATTACTGCAGTTTAATGGACTTAACAATAGCAATCTAACCAAAAGCAAAAATTGAATGAGTCAAAATCTTTGAATAAAAGATCTGAAGTATTTCCATTTGAATAATTAAAGCCAGACTTTTGGATGACCCCTAGTAGCTGTTATCTTGAGGGTACAGATTTTTTTCCTATTTATGTAGATATCATGCACAATACTGTGATTCACATTGTCCCACTGTCAATCTGTTTCTATACTGTAATTCTGTAGCTTTAGTGCTATTTTTCTACAGGTTTTCTAAACTGAGATTGGGGAAAATTGTAGCAAAGGTTCTGTAACCCTTGTTTTTATAATGCTCCAGCACTAGGCATAAAATCATGACCACAGTGGTATTTTACAATGCAGCATCATTGTTGTGCATCATGATGTTAGCTGATTGCTGGCTAAACATCTGTAGCAGTAAATTTTTCATTCTGGAACAGATTTCCTACGGATCTCGCATGTCCAAAATGGGCAACTACTTGTTTCTCATCCAAGCTACCAGTTGTCCTTTGTCATAAATTCTGCTTTAGATATTTTGCTTTAGAACATCAGGAGAAAGTTGAGCTGAGATACTTAAAGGCAAGATTTTGATCCAGAAAGACGTGATTGAAAGAGGAAATTGACACAAGGTTCTTTGAACAGTTTTTTGCCTGCGTTCTTCCTTCTTCCAGATAAGCAGGAATAAAATACTATCCTTACCTTTTTAGCTCTACAGATTGATTTTTTTTTTAAGAGCGCACTGTAGAAATGACAGATGCATTAAAAAAGATGAAATTGCTTGTTCACTGTCATATTGGATTCTGTGGCAGAAATGGAGAAGAAAACAAATGAGTCTTGTCATTCAATTCCATCTGATGTGTGAACGTAATAGTAAATATGTGTAATAGCAAATACTAAGAACCAAATTATCAAGATAAGTAAATAAAATTTTTTTTTTACCTTCATTGAGCAGTTAAAAATGCTGAAAACAAGAATACTGACTTTACAGCACTGAGAGAA